AACCCAGCAAGGCTTCAGAAGACCCCAAAACCTGATGTCCAAGTCATCAGCTATGATCCTGCTCTCTCACCAGCACCTCAGCAACCTGCACCCCACCAGCCCTGGCCCCTTCCAGAGCTCTCCATCACCTTGTCCAACAGCTCGCCTTCTCCAAAACTGGCCTGAACAAAGAAAGCAACCTCTCACTCTGGCAGCTCCCATCCTCTGCGTGCCAGTGCTGAAACACCAGAAGGATTTCCAGCAATTCAGCAATCGACTGGCCCACTTACTGGCTAGTAGCTGCTGCTTGCTACACGTGCCAAGGGGTTTGTACTCGTGCTGAGGATACACGCAGAGCTCCAGATGAGACCAGTACATCGGCATGTACACTTCCAAGGAAAGGCTTTTGCTTTGAGTCAGGCCACTCGCATAGCAGTTAATCCGCACGATAAGGAAACAATGATGTTTCTGCTTCTGCTAATGTTTTTTTTTGCTTACTGTAACAGGCTCATACCATACCATCAAAGATGTTAGATGAATTAGTAGTAACGATGCAAATGCGAAAATGCTATGTCAACATACATTGCTATGAAAATGTAAACCACTTTGCATGATTTTCCTTGCCTTGTCTCACAGGCTGTTCAGACCCATAGGAAAGTTACACACAGATCAGAGGCGCCTCAGGAACTCCCAGAGGAGAGCTCACAGAGGATCTCCCAGAGGCCACCAGCAGTTGCTGCAGCATGACTGAGATGGACTAACTTTGCAAGCCACGTTGATCCAATTGCACGTCCAGTGCCTGAAATGCCACAGGCACGCAAGCTGCTCTGCAGTTTGCAAAGCAGTCCATGTGATTGTAGCCATAATCATAATTTGCTTAGCTCCCCTTGGCCCAAGAAATGCTCCTAACACTGCAAAAAGCTGTTTACAGAAACCACTTCCTTCATTACAAGGCAAGAAATTTGGCAACTGCTTCCCAGCGCACAACAACCCTACCCCAGAGCAAAGTCGAGATGAAGTCTGCATCCAATTAAAACTGGAAGGGGGCATTAAACAATTAGCACATAATTACCTGATTTGGGCTAGCATCAAGACTCTGGGGAGGACCTGGCCAGTGCCAGGGAATCTTTAGTGACCGTACCCAACAGGGACTTCAGCTGGAGGCGTCGCAGATGAAATGCTGCTTTACCCCCCAGCGTCCCGATATTGGCTGAGCACAGGGCTAGTGAATCACCAGGAATTTTTCCCCGAAGCTTTGGGAAAAATCTTCTTCAATTGAAATGCCAATGCTTGAGATTAAATTTAGCCAAGATGTTGTGAGGGTAAAATGTTAACCCTGACAAAAGGCAGTCAGTCATTCTTACAACCCCCAGTGCCTTGATCTATGTTTTATCACTTCTAGGAAAGACAGCAGCTCCAGGAATCTTCCAGCATCTTCCTACATCTACTTACCTGAGAGTCCACAACACTTCTGTACGTGCTTAATCTTCAGCAACTGACAAGTACATTGAGGTCCATGGGAAAATTTGCATGCTTAAGGTTAAGGCACTTAAGGTACACATGCATGCAACAGCAGCTTGCATCTTGTTCCCACCTGCTTTCACCAAAACCAGGGGGAATGCCTCTTGTATCTCAAGAAATCTGCATGACCAGAGCAAGCTGCTCTGCCTCGTACCCATCAAATCAGCTCTTCAAGACTGCCGGTGTACCATCACCTCTCCTCCTTGCTCACGCTGAGAGAAGAGAAGGAAAGAAATTGTGATAACAGATCCACCACAGACTTACTTCTTAGGCTTGCCCTCTGCGTTCTCGGCCACGTGGTATCCAGGCTTGCACTTGTAGCGACAGACTGAGCCCACGTCATGGTTCCCCTGCAGGCACCGCGGGACCAGGAGCTTGGCGTTGGCCATCGCGGGAGGTGCGTCACACTCCAGCTTGCAGTAGGCTTCGGGAAGTGACCAGAGACCGTCCTCCAAGCAGGTGAGCCACTGGTTTGTCCCTGACCCCAAAAGAGAAGCAGTGTGTTGGGGTTACCGCTGACCCGTGGATGGAGTCCTGCTGAGGGAAGCTCATAGCAACCAGCAAAATTCCTCTTGTTAGAGTGGATACTGATGCCAAGGAAGGCAACAAATATGAAGACCATGGACTCCATTGCATGGTTGGTCAGGCTAGGGCAGAAACCAAATTCCTTGAACGCAGGCAGAAGCAGGGAAGGGACAATTTCTAGGGAATGGAGAAAGGATCTTGGTTCTGCAAATCTCCCCAAAACTTTCCCTTAAACGCCCCCTCACTGGTGATGCCTCAGGATATCCTTCAGTGGGCTGGGGGGTGGTTGTGTATGAGAGCTATCTGTCATATTTAGCTCAGCCCATCTCCATTCTCCCCAGGTGCTTTCTGCAGCTTGTCCTTACCTTCCTTTACAAGCTGTCATACCTTGTGCTACGTGTGTGCCTTAAGTTGGAAAATGCCAACAGGACAGATATGGGACCCTTAACTGGTGTGACTGGGAATTCAAACCACCTATTACTAAAGGCTTGGGTTGAGTATTGCAGCCCAACTCTCTGTTGTCCCTCTAGAGAAAAGGGGCTTTGGTAGACCCAGCCAATGGGTGGCCAAAACTGCACAGCTCTGGGTACCTGCAGTAAGTGTCCAGGACTGCATCGCCCACATGGTGTGGATGATGGATGGTTCACTGGGAACTGCTGAGCAAGAAAAAAAAGCTGGACTGGAGTGAATGGGACTCTTCCTACTGAGGGGTTTGGATGAGTAGGTTCCTGGTGTGGCCAGACTGCTTGATGCTCTTTTTGAGCATCACTTTCTTTTTACGGGATTGCTGCTCTGCCTACAACTGCTCTTGGACCAGGGACAAGACCATGCCTCCGTGCAGCGCTTGCATTCCTGACAGGCCTGCACTGCCCAGGGTCACCCCCCACCTCCGAGCACCGTGCAGCCGTGTCATCCTTTCCTTGCCTATTCTTAGCATTTATTAGCCTTGAGAGCCTGCCCATAAGGATGTGAGCCTTCGGGGAGAACAAGCATCAGGCACGTCCCTGCATCGGCAGCTCAGCCGAGTCGGCTGGACCTCTGCGAGTTTACTTGCGTGGCTCGGCAGCCTTGGCTGAGCACCACCAGCCGTCATGTCAGCTGCTGGAAGTCACCCAGGGCGCTCCATCAAGAGGACGCTTTCCCACCAAGGAAGCCCATGGCAAACCTCCTGTTGACTTCAGCCAGAACACAAGGCGGCTGTGAGTGAACGATCAGATTAAAGCCCTGCCCTCAGCTGACCTACCCAAGGCAACGGGCATTGGTTCGTGCAGAATTTGGGCTGTCGAGTTGTCATTCGCACACTACCCTTTGATCAACTCACACCAGGGATCTGCCCCCATCCCCCCGCCCCCATCATGAAATGAGACCTTAAGTCCCTGCAGTTTTTGCTCCTTAGATTTAACTTTAAAAAAAAAAAAAGTAAATTATTTTCGTACGTTTCAGCTATAAATGTCTCCATAAAATAGGGCACCCATTAAAATGATTTGTTGTATGTGATTGTTGAGAGCAAAGGCACTGGTGGAAACTCACATAAAGTCCCAATGCTTGAAGCTGTCAAGGCAATTACCCCCAGAATCCCATCCAGCTCAGCCTTGTATAGACAGGAACAGTAGCTCTCTTTCTCCGACTTGGCTTAAAAACATTCCTGCGGCTATTGATGGAGTCGGCAGAATGAAAGCCAGGCAATGGTGTGTCTGGGGGACTGCTGTGCGTCTGGGTGGTGAACATCTCCCAGACTGCTCTGCAGCTGTGGGCATCAGTCTCTATAGCTTCATACAGCCCCAGGACTCCTGAACCACACACTTTCCCACAGCCACCAGGCACCAAGCCACTTTTGGCTCTCTGAAGTCCTCTCTGTCCACACTGGCTGCCTGCACGCTTCTTGCCTCCCTTGTCCCCATAATGCTAGAGGCTGCCAGACCTCCCCAGATATCATGAGAAGACGTCCCTACACCCTGAGGTGGATGATAAGGGCTGACAGTCAGGGGATGGGACTCAGAGGGAATTATCTCCACACTATGGCGTCCCTGCTCAAGGGGGATGGATGCCCACCATTTCAGGAGGTGTCTCAAGAGCCCACCTGGCTGGGAGAAGCCAGGATAACCAGGAAATTCAAAGTTGCAATGCTCGGTTTAAATAGCTTGGGACAGGCGTGAAAAGGTGGCACCAAACAGGGAGAGTTAAATCCCTTAGCCCTCCAGACTGTACCTTGAAGCTTGGCTGGGTGGCTGCAGGAGAAGGAGCAGCTCTGCAGGTAGGTGGTCCCCTTGGGGCAGGAGAACTCTGCGTAGTACACATGGGACTGGTCAGGGACACCGCAGTCGACAGGGTCACAAATCACGGATCTGTCCCATCGCCCCGAGCTGCATGTCAGCACTACCTCTTGCTGTGGAGAAAGCAAGGCTCCGTCAGACCCCTGAGAGTGAGCTTTAAGCTACTGTCTTGCCACCAGAGCAGAAAGGGATGACCCGCGTTTCAAGGAGAGCTTTCCCCCATTTTTCATCCCTCAATGAGCCCTTTCTCCCCACTCTGGACACTGAGTGGTGAAGTCCCTACCCATTCACGGGGTGATGTTTGGGGTGTGAAAGCAGTGAATGGCCCTTGGGGTAACATGCAAGCCACCTGCACAAGAGATCTTCTAATGCTTGGTCTGTAGCTGCCGTCCTCCAGAAAATGCTAGCTGCATGCACGCTGTCTGAGCCATGCCAGAGCATGTTAAGGGGAAAAAGGAAAATCCCTTCAAGATACACTACAGCTTCCTGAGCTGCAAGTTATTCCCAGTTCTGTGCGCTGCAATTTTCTCCCCTACAAGACCAAGTCTTACTTCAGCCATTGACAGGCAGCCTTCCTGTTGGCTATTTTTCCCTAAATGCACTGATTCTCTCATGCCTCAGCCCACAGACCCCACTGAAATCAGAGGTTCATATAACCTCATTTACAAATCCTAATTACACAGCCTCTCTTATACAGCATGGGGGCTGCATGAGAACCTAACCCCCAGTGGTCCCACCACTAAACACGATCAAGATGTGCCACAGGCTTCGTCAGTGGTAGAAGACAGTGTGCCATGAGCAAACTGGTCTAGTGAAAGGTGTCCCTAGCCATAGCAGGGGGGTTGGAATAGATGATCTTTTAAAGGTCCCTTCCAACCCAAACCATTCTATGATTTCCACGCCCAGACTGCTAACCCCAGCCCAGCAGTCCTCAGGCAGGAGCTGCAGACCAAAGAGTTGCCTTTCAACTGTTCCTTATGTCCCCTCACTGGCTGAGTACAACCACACTGCTTGTACTTGAATGTACAACCTGATTGTACAATGATGTAAACATGATGTATAATGATGTACCTTTTGATTGAACCTGGACATGGTGGCTCTGACCTGGAAGTGGTCGAGTCACCATCCCTGGAGGTATTCAAGATGGGTAGACACGGTGCTTAGGGACATGGTTTAGTAGTGGGATGGCAGGGTTAGGTTAACGGTTGGATTTGATGATCTTAAAGGTCTTTTTTCATCCCTCAATGAGCCCTTTCTCCCCACTCTGGACACTGAGTGGTGAAGTCCCTACCCATTCACGGGGTGATGTTTGGGGTGTGAAAGCAGTGAATGGCCCTTGGGGTAACATGCAAGCCACCTGCACAAGAGATCTTCTAATGCTTGGTCTGTAGCTGCCGTCCTCCAGAAAATGCTAGCTGCATGCACGCTGTCTGAGCCATGCCAGAGCATGTTAAGGGGAAAAAGGAAAATCCCTTCAAGATACACTACAGCTTCCTGAGCTGCAAGTTATTCCCAGTTCTGTGCGCTGCAATTTTCTCCCCTACAAGACCAAGTCTTACTTCAGCCATTGACAGGCAGCCTTCCTGTTGGCTATTTTTCCCTAAATGCACTGATTCTCTCATGCCTCAGCCCACAGACCCCACTGAAATCAGAGGTTCATATAACCTCATTTACAAATCCTAATTACACAGCCTCTCTTATACAGCATGGGGGCTGCATGAGAACCTAACCCCCAGTGGTCCCACCACTAAACACGATCAAGATGTGCCACAGGCTTCGTCAGTGGTAGAAGACAGTGTGCCATGAGCAAACTGGTCTAGTGAAAGGTGTCCCTAGCCATAGCAGGGGGGTTGGAATAGATGATCTTTTAAAGGTCCCTTCCAACCCAAACCATTCTATGATTTCCACGCCCAGACTGCTAACCCCAGCCCAGCAGTCCTCAGGCAGGAGCTGCAGACCAAAGAGTTGCCTTTCAACTGTTCCTTATGTCCCCTCACTGGCTGAGTACAACCACACTGCTTGTACCTGAATGTACAACCTGATTGTACAATGATGTAAACATGATGTATAATGATGTACCTTTTGATTGAACCTGGACATGGTGGCTCTGACCTGGAAGTGGTCGAGTCACCATCCCTGGAGGTATTCAAGATGGGTAGACACGGTGCTTAGGGACATGGTTTAGTAGTGGGATGGCAGGGTTAGGTTAACGGTTGGATTTGATGATCTTAAAGGTCTTTTCCAACCTAAACAATTCTATGATTCTAAGGACATCACTAAATTTGAGTCTGGTACTCTTGGGTGTGCAGCAGAATCATGGTGTAGCTGAACCAGGTGGAGAGAACGCTCAGGGGAGAGCTGTGTGCATTTTCCCAAAATGCTTCAAGATGTGTAGGGTCACACAGCCAAATGAGTAACATCTCTTGGGGGCTCAGGGAAGGGCACCTGTAACCTGCCATCTGCTGTGACAGCCACAAAAGCTCTGTCCAGAAGTTTCCTGTCTTGCTGCCAAATGCATGAAAACCATCACCCGAGTCAGTTTTATTTTGTGCGGTTTCATTTCATAGGAGAATGGGAACATTTTGCTTTCCCTGAGCATGCCTTGGCCCACAGAGCCATGTGGCTGTGCAATTAATAACCTCCCTGGTGATGAGGAGCTGAGCAGTGCATCCCCAGCTGCCCCACTGCACTTTCCAGCGCCCACCTCTCCTTCGGCAAACACCGATGGCTGCAGCAATAGGAAACCCGCCTGCCAGGCATCACGAGCACTTGCAACTCTCCAAGGGGATGAGAGGTCCATCCTGCTGACATGGCCTGACTCACCTCCATTAGTCTCCACCCCACGTGAGTTCACACTCTCACTCAGGCTGGCACAGGGACCATCTCAGCCCTGAAGACTCCTGATCCCCCTCCAGGAACAGCCTAAGGATGGGACACGCTGTGCCCATGACCCTGCCAAGGTGATGGCCCAGACCCGAGGCAGCTCAGCTCCCAAGGACACATCAGTTCTAGGTCTCCTTAGTTAACAGCTAAGAGCTGTGCTGGCTTGTGGCTTTTATGAAGCATCCCCGAGCCCCCTGGAAAGCAGGACAAACTCTCTCATGCTGACCCCTGCACTGCCCTGCTGGCATGGGCAGTGTTATTGCAACGCAACACAAAGGAAGAAAAGCTCTCGACACTGTTGGCTGCCTCTAAATATAGTTGCTCTGCAATGACTTCATTTTTTCCTGAGCTACTAACTTCAGCTTTAAAAGAGAAAATGTCCCAGAGATGTTTAACCCTCCCAGCAACGCCCATCTGGAGAAAAGAAATGTCTACCTCTCCCTCTGTGGGAGCGCATCATCCTGGCTTGGGAGATCCCCTGCCACAGTTTTTGCCCAGAAGAGCTGCAGTCTGCAGGCAGCACCGTAGTCTGCAGGCAGCTAGGACAACTGCAGTGAGGGAAGAAGAGAGGTCCCAAGAACAGGACCACCAGCCACCCATGGAGGTCCAGCACCAGAGCCTCCATTGGGCTGAGGTTCATTGGAAGTGAGGAAGTTAGGGCTGGAGGAACAAGGTGTCCTGGGGTCACTCCAACCACCTCAAGGTGTTTAAACTTTTCTTAACTAGCACTTGGTCCAACAGGCTGCGAGATCACCCCCCACCCTGAGGTCCACTCACCTGTGTGGAGCCCAGGCTCTTCCCATTACTAGAGTGGAGGACGAAGCCCTTTTCGCAGGAGATGGTGCAGACCATGTGCCTTGGGCCATCAGAGGTGCAGTTAGGGGTGGCAGCGTGAGCAAGCAGCGGCCGGGTGCAGCTTCCCGATCCTGCACAGGCACCATGGACACAGCTATGGAGGAGAAGAGGGAAGAGGTCAGCAAGCAGGTCCCAGGGCTTCTGCAGCAAGGAGGGGTTCTCTCTGGGTGGCACCTGCATGGTATGCTCAGCAGGTCACAGACGCCTACAGAGATGCACACCTATCCCACAGTCCCAGCTTCTTCCAGGTCTAAAGTCTCCTGACAATGATGCCAGGAGGGTACTTTTTCCCAGCTCTGCCTTGGCTGGACCTCAGCCCAACCCCAGCCCACATCTTCCTACAGACCATCATGTCCTTCCAAGCTGATGAAAGGAGGCAAGGCCCGACAATGCTCCTTCCAAAATCCGCGGTCGCTGGTGAGGATACTCCAGCTCCTCTGTCCCAGGGTGCACAGGCTGCATTGCACAGAGCCTGCACACAGCCTGGCACCAAAGGGGCTGGTGGTGCTTGGTGTAGGTGGACCAAGGGAGCAAGAGGAAGGAGATAAGGGGAGAGGACAGGCAGGTGGCATATCCAGCACGACCACAACTCCCATGGCCAAAGTGGGAAGTTTATATCAGATGGTCCTATCAAGCAGCACTCCTGGATGCACAACAGTTGTTGTAGCACCTTCCTGAGAGCACTTCAGCTTCTCCAGCAGCAAGGCAGTCTCTGCCACACAAAAATTTTTCATCTCCAACATGGTTAAATCATACTGGACACCAGACAACTTGTGGCAAGAGACCTCCTGAAACTGCTCTGTGGTGCCATAGGGAGCACACTGTTAGACTCACATGTGATTGCAGCCGCTTGCATGTGTCCTCCAGCACATAGTGTGCTCATGCACTTTTCTCAGATACAAGTGTGTGGGGACAGACAGTGGACAGCAGAAGATCTGCGCTCTCTGAAGGCAAAGCCCAGACAGTAACATTGGGTCTTTCTCCTTTCTGGTAACTTTTGAATCCACACCTCAATTTCAGTCAGCCTTACTGCAGAATAAGACAAGATTTGCAGCAACAGATGGTCAGGAAAAAAAGATGAAGAGGTATTTACTGATAGAAGGGTGACAGGTATGTCAAACCCTGTATTAGACATCAGAGAATCCACAGAGGATTCTCCAACTGCAAGGAAAGGTTTAGCTGGAGAAAGAGCCTACGTGGATACTAGGTCCATCCATGAGATGAAAAACATCCATGAGATGTTTTTCAAACTACACACAGTCCTCCCCAGACCTGGCAGCAGAGTTGCCCGAGGTTTGTGTCCACACAGCCTGTGGTGGAAGAGAGAAGCTGAATATATTGCAGCTGTCTCCTCCACCCCGCTCTGGTCACCTTTCCACTCTGCTTCGATGGTCTTCAGCAGATCTGCTCTTCCCACTGGCTCACGCAGCATTTCAAGCCTGTGCATGTTGACTTCAGTCTCTTTGGGATCAGGATCATTTCAACACGTGCCTGTCCAGCTCTAGAGACTCAGCTGCAGCCACCAAGGTAAAATGCAGCTAAAAGGAAGAATTACCCTCCCTTGCGCACCACCTAAAGTTACAAGAGGTCCTGGTAAAGCTTGCAATGTCTCACCCGTCCTTGGGAAATAAACAGCCCCCTCCTCACTGCAGCAGCTTCCCACTGAGGACCAGCCATTTGGTAGATTAATTAAGCATCACAAATAGTCCCACGGTGAAGAGGAGTGCTGGCCGGGGGGCTATGGTCTCCATCAGTGAAATGCAGCCAGTAGATTGATTACCTGGGATGGAATGTGGCCAAGACACAGGGTTGACACAAGAAAACACCCCGATTATCTGGTGGTCAGGCTTTATCTTTTACCAAGTGGTACCAGCACAAAAAACCAACAGCAGCCCTCCTGGAGCTGGGGCAGAGGTGCTGCAGCTTCAGGTGATAACTGGAGAGAGAAGGGAGGGAGGTGTACCCAGATGAAACCCCTCTGCTCCCTGCTTTGCACAGGGCTGCCGACAGTTCATGTGCACTGCGTTTCACCCAGGGGGTGCAAAGGCAGCCTTTGTCTCTTGTGTTCGCTCAACCTCTCCAGCCAAAGACGCACAGCTAGAAATCCCACAAACGACACAAAAAAACCCCCCAAACAAAACCAAAAAAACCAAACCCCAAAAAGGTGCAGACGCAGATGTTAAAGGGAACGCAATGTGCTGTTGACTCTGGACACGTCCACCAAGCCAAAGACAAACCTGCAGGCCACAGCCCTGAAAGAGTCGGTGGGCACCGGAGGGGACCGCAAAGGAGAACAAGAAGAAAGGGGCTGTTTTTTCAATGCAGACCTGTTTATGAAGTGAGAAATGGTTTCAGGGCAGCTGCTGCAAATTCTTTCACTAGCTTATATTTCCATTTGCTTCCTTTTTAAAGAATTTGTTTTATGAGCACAGCGTTTGTCAGGTCATTAGCTTCTGAGGGCATCTGGTACCAATTGTAGCCCTTCTCCCCTCCCCTCCCACAGTCACCTTCTCCGGGCAGTTGCTTTGCTCCCTGCCAGTGCCCCCGGCGCACGCACACACACATGCTCCCATCCCTGACTCCACCTCCCCGTGACAGAGCCGCTGTCCTAAACCTCCTCGCGTGCGTGTCTCCGCACATGCATGTGTGAAAGGGGATGAGCTTCTCACCTTCCAGCCTTGCTGTTGCCTCCCATCCCCTTCCTCACCAGTCATGGACATGTGGGAAGCTGCAGCTGGTGTGCAGCATCCCTCCTATCACAGTGCTTGGTGCTACATCAACACACCACAGCAAGAAAGTCCTTATCCCCAGGTGCCTCCAGGCATATGGGGATTATCCAGTCAAGTCACAACCCACATGTTGGGAAGCAGGGCCGGGAGATGAGTAATGGGTTCACCAAGCGGCTGTAGGCTACAGGGCAGCTGGGTGGCCACAGCAGGACCCCAAGACACCTAACTTCAGCTGCTCATGAAGTTGTGTTGCGTTACAGAGCTCATCAAAGCGCTGGTTTGGAGAGGGTGGTGGCACTTCTGGACACATCCAGCCAGGCCAAGTGGCTGAAGAAGCTCTGCTGGCACTGGTGGGGTGATGGCACATTATCTGGGGCAGCCTCAGCAGTTAGGACAATGCTGTTATTAAATAACAAGTAATGAAGCACTGATCCTTTTCAGCACTTCCAGACACATTTTGGTTTTCCACCAGTTCAGAAATGTAACTGGCAATGCTGGTGTAAAGTAGATCAAGAGATCAGCAAGTTTCTTACTGTATTACCGCAAAATGTGTATATGCAAAATGTTATATAGATTAGTTATACATAAGGGATGGAAAATTATAGGTGATAATATCGAAATCTTTCTTTTTATATACACCACACACTGCACCTGGGTCAGGGTAACCCTCGGTATCAGTACAGGCTGGGGGAAGAAAGGATCGAGAGCAGCCCTGCCGAGAGGGACCTGGGGGTACTGATGGATGAAAAACTGGACATGAGCCGGCAATGTGCGCTGGCAGCCCAGAAGGCCAACCGTACTCTGGGCTGCATCAGGAGAAGCACGGCCAGCAGGTCGAGGGAGGTGATTCTGCCCCTCTACTCTGCTCTGGTGAGACCTCACCTGGAGTATTGCGTCTGGCTCTGGAGCTCTCAGCACAAGAAGGACATGGAAGTGTTGGAGCAAGACCAGAGGAGGGCTACAAAAATGATCTGAGGGCTGGAGCACCTCTCCTATGAGGACAGGCTGAGAGAGTTGGGCTTGTTCAGCCTGGAGAAGAGAAGGCTGCAGGGAGACCTGATTGCAGCCTTTCAGTACTTAAAGAAAAGATGGGGAAAATCTTTTTAGTAGGGCCAGCTGAGACAGGACAAGGGATAATGGTTTTAAACTAAACCAGGGTAGGTTTAGACTGGATATAAGGAAGAAATTCTTTACAATGAGGGTGGTGAAACACTGGAACAGGTTGCCCAGAGAGGCAGTGGAGGCCCCATCCCTGGAAACATTCAAGACCGGGTTGGATGGGGCTCTGAGCACCCTGATCTAGTTAGCAGTGTCCCTGCTCACTACAGGGGGGTTGGACTAGATGACCTCTAGGGGTCCCTTCCAACCCAAAACATTCTATGATTCTATGATACACTCATGCACACATTCTGTATGTACATACAGCTATATTTTACAAATAATTGGCTTTCTCTTTGCCCCAAAAAATGACTAATTTATAGCCATTTTTTCTGTGACTAACGCCCCCCCTATCCCACAAATACCCACTAGGTTTTAGTTTGGAAATGATCTGAGACCTCTTTGACTCGCATTCTAAGAAGTTGCTCTCATCCTACATGTAGCTTTGAAGTCTGGTGCTGCTATTCCAGACCTGAAGAGGAGCTTGTGGCAATGAAAGACATCTGATTTTCTCAAATGTATTGGTAAGCTTGAAAAAAATATATCTCATCTCCACCTACAAACTTTGCCTTGATCACTTCTCCTTTACCATTATCAGCATCAATCTTTTATCATTATCACCACTGCAATACTCTGGGCCAGGACACCCTTGAGCCTGATGTCGTAGAAGAGCAGGACCAAAAAAAAAACCAAACTATGTGGTGTGGCCCCATCATGATCCGCATGCCTTACCAGGGCTCAGGTAATGTGATGGAATAAATCATTGCTCCCAGCCGCTGGAACACCCTAAGGAAGGCTGGACGCGGAAATGGTGTAGTTAGCCCAGTTCTGATCTCTGCATGAAGGAGCTCTTTCTCCTTTTCATGATAAATTAAATTCCTGTATCACAGCTGCAAACTCCTGACATTTGGCCATTTCTGATTCAGGCTGTATAAGATGTGGGACGAGCCAATATTTTTTTTTCTGCATGAAACATCCAAAAAAATTTCCATTTTTATCCCAGCATCTTTTGAAGCTCAAACTAATGATTTGTCAACAACATTTTCACAAAATACCAAGGTTTTTATCCAAACTCATTCCACATCAGCACCAGCCTGCGTGATTTTCTGGGCTCACCAACTCCCATAACTCATACATCAAAGGAAGTTTCAGATCTGGAAATTTGTGAAATTCTGCCTAGTGATGGCCCTAACTCCTCTGGAACGAT